CGGGTTGGTACAGTGACACGTCAGCAGTGCCACGTCAGACACAGTGTCACGTCAGCAGTGCCACGTCAGACACAGTGCCACGTAAGCAGTGCCACGTCAGACAGTGCCACGTAAGCAGTGCCACGTCAGCAGTGCCACGTCAGCAACAGTGCCCCGCCACCATGACGGGCTCACTTCTGGGCATGCCAGGCCAACTGGCAAATGAATCCATTGCCGAATACCGACAACGGTTCGAAAATCAGTTCGCACTAATCGCGGCTGAGGAACAACGCCAGCTGGCAGCCAAGGCTGCCCAGCTACAGGCTGACGAAGCGGCTGCAGCAGAGAAGCTCCGGCTACAGGCCGAAGCAGACGCAGAAGCCCAGGCTCGCCGCAAGGAAGCCCAGAACCTGCTGCAGCGACATGAAGCAGCCAGCGTTGACAGACTCAAATTCTGGCACTTTGAACCCAACGGCAACGACGCGACACCGGAAGAGCAGCATAAGGAGTTTCTCTCCAAACTCGTGACACGGCTGGTGTACGCTTGCAACTACCAACAGTCCGAGTTGGAGAAACAATACCAGGACCTGAAGCAACAGCATCAAGAGTTGGCAAAGCTCCCCCGCACAGTGCAGGGCCACGAGGATGCAACTCGGGCACTCAATGCTCGAATGCTGGACCTGGAACAGGCTGTACCAGGACCAGCTGCTGGGGCTTCCAGCAGTGCATCCTCTAGCCGCCAACTGGAGGAACGCGTTGACCACGTGGTGACAATACTCGGCGACATCAGTACTTTCGCTGCGCCGGCCAGCATCCGCAGTCAGCTGCATACCTTGAAGACCGAGTTCCAGCAGCTGCAGTCGACGAACACGGATGACAATCCTAAGATGTACAAGATGCTAACTTTCCAACTGGAAAAGTTCAACGACTACACGCAGCAGGATCCGGTCCTCTGGTGGGAAGCATTCACAACACAACTCAGGATTATGCCCGTCGCCAAGCACGCGTACATTGGTGCCCTGTTTCTGAACTCAAAGGGCGGATGCCAGACCTGGCTGAGCCACCTGGCAACCTCTCACAGCGTCGATGTACCAGACTTGAAGGACAAGATCACATGGGAGGAACTGACACGGCTGTGGAAGAAACGGTTCATCGTCGACGACGCGCCGGCACTCGCCATCAACCGTCTGTTCACCATGTCACAGGGCAACACAGCAACACGGGACTGGCTCACGGAGTGGCAGAAGATTGCGGCAGTGCCCAATCTGGACTTGCTGTTCATACATCTCAGACGTGAGTTCTACAATAGGTCCTGTGCGGCATTGAGCCAGGCTCTTGGTGATCACGAGCAGTACTCAACCTTCGCGGAGATCATTGACAAAGCAAGGGAGATCATCAAGACCAACAGGCCAGCCGCACACGAGAAGTCAACATGGCAGCCGACCTATGTGGAGAAGGTACGAACTGGTCCGCGACAGCAGCACTTCGCTGCAGTCCAGTCGGACAGTGGAGATAACCCAGCAGCCACTCTAGCATCAAGTGACGGAGATCAGGTGGATGTTGTCCAGCCGCGAAGCACCAACAAGTCCCGCAACAATGGGAAGACGAAATCAGCATCGCAGGCCGGAAATGGACAGCCAGTACAAGTCCCATGGGTCAAGTTCGGCTTGATCGAGGCGGAGTACAAGGTCCGCGGCCGCTACGGCAGCTGCTATTGGTGCAACAGCACCAAGCACAAGACCTCCCTGTGCCAGGATCAGGGCAAGGAGGATGTGCGACCCCGCCTCMGCTCGGGAAACTGAGCTCCGCGGAAGGTGAGGCGACTCCACCTTCTACTCCGCCGGATTCGGCC